GCGTCCTCCTGTCCCACTTCATCCCACCTTATCAGCCTAACCCCTTTGGTGCACTTGCCTTTTAATAATTCATGTTTAAAGGCTTCTGTGAATTCCATCTCTTGGCCGATGCCTTTCTTTGTTTGTGGCCCTAACTTCATTCAGATTGTGCTTTTGGACTGACCCAGTTGGCAAACTGACAGCTATTCAAATACATTTCAATGTTACTGTTGTTGTGACAAGGGTGCCCACTGTTTTCTGTTCAACTGGTACTGAGTGGCTGGGTTGAACATGCCCTGCTGTGCTATTGCTATTAACCAACTGGCTGGTTGACCTGCGGATTGTTCAGTTGGCTCCTTGCTCCACTAAAAGTACTGGCAGTTCTCCAAGTGGCTATTCATCTGTTGTAAGCATGCAACAACAACTTGCATTGACGTCATCCTTTTAACGTAATGATTGTCCCGGGAAGCTTCAGGGTAGCAATGATCCAAATGATATTTAACACCCAGCCCCGTGAGGCAGGTATTCAATCAGATGACCGAGAGTTTGGTCAGAGAGGTAGGTTTTAAAGGGCATCTTTTTAAGGGTAGAGACCCGAGGAGATTTTGGTGGGGGGCATTTGAAAGTAAGAAAATTCTGGTCTGGATTAGAGGTTGGTTGAGTGTGATATTGCCAATGCTTGATGAATCTATGTATGCACACATTAGGCTTTAAAGGATATCACAATTTACAAGAAGGAAGCTCCCTAGTTGAGCATCTCGGGGTTGGGGGGGAGGTATCTCCAGGGGTTGCCTCTTTGTTCATCCTGTCCGTTCTTGGGACGTGAGCATTGCTGGGAAGGCCAACATTTACTGCCCGTCTCTAATTGCCCTTGTAAAGTCAGTAGTGAACCATCCTGAAGTGCTGCAGTTCAGATGGTGAAGGCACTGTTAAAGAGGGATCTCTGGGATTTTAGTCAGGTAACCACAAAGGAGCAGTGACATATTTCAAACTCAGGAAGTGTGTGTTTTCCTACCTGCTTCCCAGCTCAACTAAACATGCCCATCGTGCACTTTGAACCTTGAACCTCCTGCTGTACCCATTCATGGACAGAAAGAGTCAATATCCCCCTGACGTCCACTATTCAGTGATTCCATTCTGGAATAAAGGCATCAGGCAACATCAACGAATTCTATATGGGCAAATAGCCAGCTGCCATAGACTATCAATGTGCTCACGTATGACCAATGTGACATTGTATTGGAGGGAACACAGTGTGGAGCTGGAGGAACACAGGCCTGGCCTGCTCTGTTCCTCCAGCTCCACACTGTGTTATCTCAGACTGCAGCATTGGCAGTTCTTGCTATCTCTGATTGTATTGGAGGGAATTGGCACTGTGGAGTTTCACCTTCAGAAGAAGAGAATTTAAAACAAACTAAAGGGGACAAGGATTCAGTTGCCAAACATTTTAAGAAGATGGTTCCCATTTTAACTTCACCTTTTTTCTTAACCAAGTACTTATCCTTCTTTGGAGTAAAAAAAAGTCTAATAATTGAAGTTTTGCTCCCCGCCTTTTATCCTCCTCGATGTGTTTCATATATCTTCGTGTGGTGCAGGTCTGAAAGGTTTTTACAGTGAGCTTCTCCATCCTTCAGAACAATAACACTGCACACCACCCCCCCTCTCTCGTCCTGGCAACAAATGGGCAGCTTCTCCATAGCAACAGGGCCACAAAAGGTGGTGCGGGACTGGAATGCACTGGGGTCGGGAGTCTGAAGCCACAGGACAGCCTGGATGACCCAAGCCTTTGGGGAGAGTGTCTGATAAATGACTCGTCTCTTCTTTTTGTCGCAGAGAAAGAACTCAGCAAGACCACTGTTGCTCTGAGAGAGCAGAAGGTGGAATGATTGGAAGTTCGGGGAGGTGGGTTCAGAGGCTGGGTGGGTGACTTCTGCTGTCTTTGTGTTCGCAATTCGAAACTAGATGGAACTGGTGCACAACCTCCCCCCCCCGCCCCTCACATAGAAGGCTCTGGCAACAACGGAGAGCTGTGTTAATACATTGCTCAATGCTTGGGCTTTGCCTTGCACTGACAGATCAAAAACAGACTGAAGTCGCTGTTTATGAATTTAAATAAAAGGACTTGCTGGAAGCATTTCTTTAACCTTGGTTGACTCTTCAAGCCATGTTATGGCGACCAGTTATCAAGGTGACGAGATATGGGCAATAATTTCAGTGGTGCACGCATGTTGATGACAGTTTCTGTTTCTTTTTTTTTAAAAATAGGCAAATTAAAAAGTACAAAATTTCACATGCCTGTCAGTGCAGCGTAGCCAATCTAGCTGATAACCAAGTTAACATCTAAAGTACCAGTCCTCCTTGTTCTGCTCCAGCAAGCCAAGCAGAGATGTATAAAAACTAAAGTCTATTCTTTACACAATTTCTCAGCTTTTATTTGCAGAGATGCATGTTGCAAGTATATACCTCCAAATGCAATGACCGTAGCTCTGGTCTGCTCTGAAAAGTAAGATACAATGAATCCCCACGCTCCTAAAAACTCTATGATATGTGCCACCACTGCCTCTGAGGTGCTTTCATTGAAACTGAACTGAAAGGTACAGAATATTTCAATAAAGTGACTTTCTAAAAGAAGCTACCTTTTTGGTTTTTCACTTTTCTTCCTGTTATTTGAGTTCATAGGCTGTTGTTGGGGTACTGCCCTCCTTACACACATGGGCATACCCTCTCTTCTTTATCTCTGAGACTAAATGTGAGGCTGGGTCTGATGCTATAATATTGAGGATATTGAGGTCACTTCTTGAATCCCAGTTGCCACCTGTGACAACTTGACCCTGGGCTGTGTGGCTGAATTTGCAGAGTCTGTAGAGGAGCTGCTGGGTATCTCTGTGGCCATGTTGTAGTCCTCCATCAGGTGCTTGTCCCTCAGTGTAAGTCCTCCCACAGCAAGCTAGGAGTGGGTACCGATAGCTCCCTGAAAGTGAAATCGCTGGTCCAAATCCAACAACAGCTGGAAATATTGAGTTACCCACTGATTACAGTCTCAAAGGTTTTGATTTGAGATGATCCAAAATTCTGAGACCCGTGTCTTAACTTTGACCAAGTCCTGTTCACCCATGATCCCTGAGCTCACTGACCTCTTATTCGTTCTTGGTTAAGCAATGCCTTGATTTCAAAATTTGCTCCTATTTCCCTTTGCTTCTCCAATCCAGCAAGCCTCCGGGCTGTCTGTGTTCCTCCAGTGCAGGCCTCTTGAATAGTCAAGATTCCTGATTTTGTAATCCAGGAACATTGAAAATCTCTAGCTCTCTCTCTGTCGCTATCTCCTGCCCTCTCTAAACCTATCCTCTCTAACCCTCCCTTCCTTCTTTTGAAGGTGCTTCTCAAACCACATCTTGAACTGAGCTTTTGACATCTCTCCTAATATTTCCTTACACAGCTCATTTTGTTTAAAAATGTTCTGATAAAACATTGGGTTGTCTTACCATGTTAAAGGTGCTACTTAAATGCAAGTTGCTAACATTTGGTAAATTTATAAAGAATAGAAGGTCCTGATGTAAATTAAGTTAGAAGAAAAAGGGTGCGAGGACAGTTGTATGATGCATAAACATGGACATCCAATGGTCTGTTTCAATTTTGAAAATACTTTGTAATTTCTTTATTCTTAGGCCATTTCCAGCCGTATTGCTGTGGGTGTGGAGTTGCTTGTAGGCCAGATCGAATCAGGATGCCAGATAGCCTTCCCTAAAGGGGCATTAGTGAACCAGATGGGATTTTGCAGCAGTTGATATTACCGTGACTGATATAGGCTCTATATTCCAAACTGATCATGTTTTAAATTACACCGTGATGGGATTCGAGCCCAGAGATTTAGCCCGATTCTCTGGATTCTAGTCAATTGACATTACCAACACTCTGCCCCTGTATTAGACAATCCAGCTCAATGACTGTACAGAGGCCAGCATCCAGCAGCAGAGCTGAGAAAGGGGCGACAGCTACGGGTCTGTCACTAGTGGTCACTATATTTAATGCAGAGCAATGGGGCAATACATTTTGGAAGAAAGCATTTATCTTCATCAGTTGGAGGTATATTACATTAAAACGCAAGGGGCTTCCTGTGCGTTTTCACCACAATGATATCAAATCAGTTACCAGAATGGTCCTGAGTACAGTGTAGGGTTGGTCCAATGCACGGCTCTGATGCAAGCCCCATTAATCCGTGCTGCTCCACAAAGTCCCCATTGTCAGTAAAAACCTGAAACAGTTCATCTATAAAGCTAACGTGACTGGCCAGGGAACCAACAGTGAGCTTGACTTCCTGCAGGGATTTTTTTTTTAATTTGAAGCTTAATCTGTTTCAGTGCTTTGAGTTTTCCGTATATATTATTCACATGATGTTTAATTAGACTTGTATAAGTCTCACTGCCCAGTCCCTACCCTGGGATTTCCCCAATGAAATGTTGAAATGTGTAAATAAGAGCTGAGAGGAAAACAGAGTGCAATCACTTGAATATTCAGAGCAAGTTGACAGAATGACGTTCAGTAGTGATTTCTTTCAATTGTTTGAGGTTAACTGTATGTTTCATATCCCCATCAATTAATATGCTCCTCTTCTAATATGTTTACATATTCTCTCCATCTGCTCCTAAGATAAATAATTTTTTTCACATCCCAGTAAACGTTATGTCCTTTCAACTGTGTTGCCTCTTCTGATGGAGTTCCAGTTTGATTGGGAATTTGTTCGGGATGCAATGGCTTGAGAATAGGTTTTATTATTCTGTACATCGTTTAAAATAATCTTTGTGTGCACTTCCTGTTCAATTTGAAAGACTTGGCCCCATTTATAATGGAGACATGTTCGATACTCCACAGTTTAACGCTTCCGATTCATCTTCACCCTTAGCCTTTGTTGTGGCACATGCCATGTGCACCCAGAATTGTGCTGCCACACAGTACTTTCCCAATCCTCCATTTTGCTGTCTACGGTGACTGCAGCCTTACAATTCTGCTTTCATTTTGTGCAGGGGATATTCGGCAGCTTCTGATATGGATCAAAAACAACTTGCTCAAAGAGCGGCCGGAGCTTTTCATTCAAGGTGACTCTGTGTAAGTTCAGTTCCTGATTTGATGAGATACGCCACACAGAGGTGGAACAGTATGTATCCAGGCACACTTAATACCCGACATGGCTCCGTGAGTAGCCCAGCCAAACGGACTGGGTTAACAGTTTCATTGCCCATCTCTAATTGCCCTTGAAATGACTGGCATTGCAGAGGGCAGAGCTATATCACTGTGGGTTTGGGGGTCACGTGTATGCCAGGCCAGGTGGGGATGCAAATTTTTGTACCTGAAGGACATTATGAGCCAAATCGTTTTTTTAAGCATTTCTAGAGACATAAAATTGAATCTTTTTGCCTCACAACCCAGTCCTGACAAGAAAGCAACTTTTTAAAGGGAACATCTATGTCTAGGGCAGGCAGAGCTGGTGCCAAGTGGTTGGACCATGGTTGGCTTGGAGTGCAATGCAAGTGTTAACTGTCCATCTTAGCTGAATAGTGTTTTTGTTTTAACAGTAAATGATAGCTTTTGTGGTCACCATTGCTGAGACTCGCTTTGTATCCCAGATCTATTCATACAATTTGAATTCTGCCAGCTACAGTGGTGGGATTTGAACCCATGATCCCAGATCAATAGCCTGGGCCTTTAGATTACTGATGCAATGATGTAACCAGTACACCACTGTCTCTCCTTGGCATTATGCTGATATTTTGTCTTTATTCAGTTGTTCGCTATCAGCCAGGTCAGGGTGCACCACAGTTAGCCTCACAAGCTATGGCTTAGATTATTTCACAAGTTGTAGCAATGAGTGAGGAAGATCTGGGTCTCTCTCTCGGTGCTGCTCCCTGTCATCATTCTGATTCACAAGTTTTCGGGAACATTCTGAGTCACCGTTTCCTTTGGATTTGCTGAGTCGTCTTGGCTAGAAATATCAGCTGAATATCACACAGTTATAAACAGTCCATGAGCTTCCTCTCCCAGGGGTCGAACTGAGGTAGTGAAAGTGTCCAAGCACTGCACTTTGGCATTAGTAACATCACTAGTCATCCCCAAGTCCAGTCAGAGCTGTGTTTCTAATGTGATATCTTCTAAATAGCTTCTGTCTACAGGAACCATTTCATTAAAAGGGACATTATATATTGTTCAGGGAGAATGGAGAAGGGGGAGGTGATGGCCTAGTGGTACTATCACTGGACTGTTAACCCAGAGAATGTTCTGGGGACCCAGGTTCAAATCCCACATGGCAGATAGTAGAATTTGAGTTCAATAAATCTCTGGAATTAAGACTCTAATGGTGACCATGAGTCAATTGTCAGGAAAAACCCATCAGGTTCACTAATACCTTTAAGGCAGCACGGTGGCTCAGTGGTTAGCACTGCTGCCTCACAGCACCAAGGGCCCAGGTTCACAGGATTGTGTGGAGTTTGCACATTCTCTCCGTGTGTGCGTGGGTTTCTTCCCACAGTCCAAAGATGTGCAGGTTAGGTGGATTGGCCATGCTAAATTGCCCAGAGTGCCCAGGGATGTGTAGTTAGGTGGGTTTGAGGAATGGGTCTGTGTGGGATGCTCTGAGGATTGGTATGGACTTGTTGGGCCAAAGGGCCTGTTTTCACACTGTAGGGATTCTATGGAATAGAAGTTGGGGCCCCATTACATGTGATTCTATGAATTTTATGGCTGTAGCTTCCAACCACACTGACATCTGTTGATCACGATATATGTGTGAGGATATTAAGGAAGAGATTTTAAAAACTGGGTGTGATGACCCCACAGTTCAATAACTGGCCACTCTTGAAGGATGGCCAATTGAGTAAAGGGCTAATGGTTCCTTGCCCCTGCTTGACAGCAAAGGATGCAAACAAGAGCCGCGATTATTTTTGGTAGCAGAGGATACCTGCAACTGTGGAACTTTAAAGTGTTTTTTAAGAGAAGCACGTGTCCTTGGTATGGTTTTATTTACGTATTTAATACCAAGATCCCCTCTTAAAGATAATTGTCACCACGGATGGTGACCAAAGGACGTAGGTGCAGTTGTAGGCCATTCAGCCCATCTATCAGAAACATTTAAGCGATTCTTGGATAGGCACACGGATGACAATAAAATGAAGGGTATGCAGGTTAGTTTTGATCTTAGAATAGGATAATAAGTTGGCACAGCATCGTGGGCTGAAGGGCCTGTTCTATACTGTACTGTTCTATGTTCTGTGAATCTTCTCTGCCATTCAGTGAGATTATAGCTGATCTGATGATCCTCAGCTCCACTTTCCTGCCTTTTCCCCATAACCCTTGATTCTCTTCCTGGGTAAAAATCTGCCTGTTATCAGCCTTGAACGTATTTGACGACCCAACCTCAACAGTCCTTTGCGGGAAAGAATTCCACCGATTCAAACCCTCTGAGAGAGGAAATTCTTACTCATCGCTGTCTTAAATGGTGACCTTTTATTCTGAGGTGATGCCCTCTGCTCCTAGACTCTCCCACAAAGAGAAACAATCTCTCGGGGTCTACCCTGTCAGTGCCCGAAGAATCTTGTATGTTTCAATAAGGTCTTCTCTCATTCTTTTAATTGGTAATGAGTGTCTGGGAGGTTGGGGCTAGTTTTAACTTTTTCATGAGTTTTGATGCCTTTCTTGGTTGGTAGGGGAGCTCCTGCACCCACCCCATTCCCTCAAATCATTTCCTATCAAGGCCATGTGCCCTGTCACAACACATAACCTTCCTGTGTCACATTGGCTGCTCCCCTTCTTACCAGCTGGTTCAGATTTTCACATCCACTTCATAGTAAACGACTCTGTGGGTATTTCAAATGCAAGAGGGGTTCTCCATGCCTGGCTTACGTGTAATGTACATTGTCGTTCTCTGTCTCCTGTGCGATCTTTCACATTACACCAGGTTATAGTTCAACAGGTTTATTTGAAAACGTTAGCTTTCAGAGGACTGCCCCTTTGTTGCCTGACAAAGAAACAGCGCTCCGAAAGCTTGTGATTTCAAATAAACCTGTTGGACTGTAACCTGGTAACACAACATGGCGCTGGAGGAACACAGCAGGCCAGGCAGTATCAGAGGAGCAAGAAAGTTGACGTTTTGGGTCAGGACTCTTCTTCAGAAAGAATTTCTAAAGGGTGTCAACCCGAAACGTTAGCTTTCCTGCTCCTCTGATGCTGCCTGGCCTGCTGTATTCCTCCAGCTCCACACTGTGTTACCTCTGACTCCAGCATCAGCAGTTCTTACTATCTCTGAGTGGACTATAACCTGGTGTCGTGTGACCTCTGACTTTGTCCACCCCTGTCCAACACCAGCCCCTCCACCCCAAGTTTGAATACAGCTTCCTTTAGTAAATCTCAATCTCTGTTGCTCTCTATCCAGATTTGACCCAATGCTTTAAGTAACATAACTGAAAATTAAGCAATGCTATTGACCCACTATTTTAAAAAAAAACTTTTTTGTCTATGTTACAATGTGGAAGAAGAAATGAATTATAAACATGTATCGTGGTTTAGGTTATGCACACCTTTTTAAAGTTAGCATAGTCTTTGGGTTGAGGCCACAAGGCAATGCTGATTCTTTGTATTTTGTCACTATTGCTGTACTCTGCAGAGGAGATTTGAAATATTCCATTAGAGGGACCCCATGTGCACTCCTGAGGACCCGTTAAAACAATCGTATGCTCCCAGGGAACCCCCTATACATTTCGGTGCGTTCCCAGAGACCCCCTCCAAATACTGTCACATTCCCCATGACCAGATATCATCGGTGCGCCTCACAAACAGGGGCACTGTCCACAGATCTCGAACCCTAGTTCCCAAAAGATAGCACCAGTCAGCTGAAGGGGATACCATGCTGTCATTACTTTGCAGGAGCGTTATACCATGAGGATAACAAACTGGTGAAGCAACAAAATTTAAAGACCAATGTAAATGAATGGTTCCTGGATGTTGGTCACAATAGCCCAGGTTTACCAGTGCACACTGTGGTGAGCTGCATGATGAGAAGGGAGGGTTACGTGAGGCTGTCTGTTAGTGAGGGAGTCATAAACAATTTGTGTTACATCAGATCTGGTGACACGCAATGTCTAGGGTCGAGCAGCAAGGGGCAGCTGTGTGCCATGAATATTTAATGCTTCTCATTATTTTCCAGTGTATCTTAAATCAGGTATTTGTTATTAAATTTGGTGGTGACTTGTTAGAAATTCAGCTTCATTTAGTGGCCCCTTTTGTGTTGAATATTTATTTGTGCGTGGGTGCTTTCTAATTAGACTCGACTGAACTTTTAACCTGCGACGTTTAAGCTCTATTCTGCCAACAGCTTGTCGCCTAAAGGTATCATCTCTGCCATGATAAGTAATAAAGATATTGCATGTTCACTATACAGCTTGGAAATGCTCAACCGTTAATCTGAGGCCCTGCCCTCCATCTCCTTCAACAACACCCTTCAATCATTGGTGCAGTGTTCAATGTGACACACACAGTCACGTTGGTCCCAGGATTGATCCCTGGCCTCTGCTGATCTCAGTTAGGAAACGCTCCATTTGGCCTCAATGACCGAGTTAGGGAGCAAGAACAATTGCCCAGGGTTCCTGGCCCTGATGCCCATCAAGTGACATTTACCACAAAGTGCCTGTTTGAAAGAAAGAGCTTGTCTTTATCTAATTGCTTTCACAAAGCCAGCACGTCCCACAGTGCTGTGCAACCAGCGAAGTACCTATTGGAGTGCAGTCACTATTGTAATATTGCAGCCAATTTGCACACAGCAAACTCCCCCCACTCCCCCGCCCCCCCAAAAAAAGCAACATGGTAATGACCAGATGGACTGTTTTTAGTGATAATGAAAGCAGCGAATGCTGCAACTACTCAGCAGGTCAGACAGTCCCAGTGGAGACAGAAAAAGAGTTAACATTTCAGGAGAACTGCAAGGCTGAAATGTTCCTTGTGTCTTGATCTTCATGTGCGCCACCTAACCTACTGAGTGTTTACAGCATTTTCTTTTTATTGGCTCAGATTTCCAGGATTTTTGCTAATGTATCTTTTTTGTAAGTGATGTTGGTCGAGGGATTAAAAATTGGCTGGAATGCCTGGCAGGGAGAATCTCCCCTGCTCCTCTTAATGATGATAATGCCATAGCATCTTTCACATCTCTGTACACCTAAGACTGCACACATCTTATCCAAAAGCTGACGTCTCATGGTCTACGTGCTAGAGTTGTAAAGTCAGAAGCAGCAGAGATGGTGGAGGCAGTGGCTGTCATTTTAAAAAATTCAAGAGGATTCTAAAATGACCTCATCAGATTGCAAGTTTACAAGTATAACACTGTGTTACTGAAGAAAGGAGGGAGAGGGCTAACTGGGTGCTCAGGTCAGCTATTGAGGCATCAATTACTGGGAAAGTGTTGGAATCTATTACTAAGGAGGTCTCAAAGATGCACTTAGAAAATCCTGATTTCTCAAGAGT